TGGTGTCCTTTGCTGTACAGAAGCTTTTCAGCTTGATATAGTCCCACTTGTTCATTTTCACTTTTGTTTCCCTTGCCCAAGGAGATATGTTCGTGAAGAGGTCATTCATGTTTATGTTCCAGAGATTCAGAGATTTTTGCCTGTGTTTTTTTCTAAGAGTTTTATGGTTTCATGACATACATTCAGGTCTTTGATCCATTTCGAATTTACTTTTGTGTAAGGGGTTAGACAATGATCCAGTTTCATTCTCTCACATGTAGCTGTCCAGTTTTGCCAACACCAGGTGTTGAAGAGGCTGTCATTTCCTCATTGTATGTCCATGGCTCCTGTATCGTATATTAATTGACCATATGTGCTTGGGTTAATATCTGGACTCTCTATCCTGTTCCACTGGTCTGTGGCTCTGTTCTTGTGCCTTTACCAAATTGTCTTGATTACTGTGGCTTTTTAGTAGAGCTTGAGGTTGGAAAGCAAGATCCCCCCCACTTTATCCTTCCTTCTCAGGATTGCTTTGGCTATTCGGGGTCTTTGGCGGTTCCATATGAATTTTTGAACTATTTGTTCCAGTTCATTGAAGAATGCTGTCAGTATTTTGATAGGATTGCATTGAATTTGTAGATTGCTTTAGGCAGGATGGCCATTTTGACAATACTAATTCTTCCTAGCCAAGAGCATGGGATCAGTTTCCATTTGTTAGTGTCCCCTTTAATTTCTCTTAAGAGTGTTTTGTAGTTTTCAGGGTATAGGTCTTTCACTTCCTTGATTAGGTTTATTCCTAGGTATTTATTCTTTTTGATGCAATTGTGAATGGTATTGTTTTCCTAATTTCTCTTTCTGCTAGTTCATCATTAGTGTAGAGTAAAGCAACAGATTTCTGTGTATTAATTTTATATCCTGCAACTTTGCTGAATTCCGATATTAGTTCTAGTAGTTTTGGAGTGGAGTCTTTAGGGTTTTTTATGTATAATATCGTGTCATCTGCAAACAGGGACAGTTTAATTTCTTCTTTAACCATCTGGATGCCTTGAATTTCTTTGTTTTGTCTGATTGCCTTGACTAGGACCTCCAGTACTATGTTGAATAACAGTGGGGAGAGTGGGTATCCCTGTCTTGTTCCCAATCTTAGAGGAAATGCTTTCAGGTTCCTGCCATTAAGTACGATGTTGGCTGTGGGTTTGTCATATATGGCATTTATTATATTGAAGTACTTGCCCTCTCTACCCATTTTGTTGAGAGTTTTTATCATGAATGGATGTTGAATTTTTTCAAATGCTTTTTCAGCATCTGTGGAGATGATCATGTGGTTTTTGTCCTTTTTGTTGATGTGGTGGATGATGTTGATGGATTTTCAAATGTTGTACCATCCTTGCATCCCTAGGATGAATCCCACTTGATCATGGTGTATGATCCTCTTGATATATTTTTGAATTCGGTCTGCTAATATTTTGTTGAATATTTTTGCATCTATGTTCATCAGGGATATTGGTCTGTAATTTTCTTTTTTGGTGGCGTCTTGGCCTGGTTTTGGTATTGGAGTGATGCTGGCTTCTTAGAATGAGTTTGGAAGTATTCCCTCCTCTTCTATTTTTTGGAAAACTTTAAGGAGAATGGTTATTATGTCTTCTCTGTATGTCTGATAAAATTCTGTGGTAAATCCATCTGTCCCAGGGGTTTTGTTCTTGAGTAGTTTTTTGATTACTGACTCAATTTCATTGCTGGTAATTGGTCTGTTTAGATTTTCTGTTTCTTCCTTGGTCAGTCTTGGAAGGTTGTATTTTTCTAGGAAGTTGTCCATTTTTTCTAAGTTTTCCAGCTTGTTAGCATATAGATTCTCATAGTATTCTCTAATGATTCTTTGTATTACTGTGGGGTCCGTCGTGATATTTTATTTTCTTTCTTGTTTCTGATTCTGTTGATGTGTGTAGATTCTCTTTTTTCTTAATAAGTCTGGTTAGGGGCTTATCTATTTTGTTTATTTTCTCAAAGAACCAGCTCTTGGTTTCATTGATTTTTTTCCCTACTGTTTTATTCTTCTAAATTTTATTTATTTCTTCTTTGATCTTTATTATGTCCCTCCTTCTGCTGACTTTAGGTGTCATTTGTTCCTCTTTTTCCAATTTCAATAATTGTGACTTTTGACTATTCATTTGGGGTTTTTCTTCCTTCTTTAAATAGGCCTGGATTGCTATATACTTTCCTCTTAGAACTGCTTTTGCTGTGTCCCACTGAAGTTGGGGCTTTGTGCTGTTCTTATCATTTGTCTCCATATATTGCTTGATCTCTATTTTAATTTGGTCATTGATCCATTGATTATTTAGGAGCATGTTGTTAAGCCTCGTGAGCCCTTTTGTTTTCTTTGTACAGTTTATTTGTAGTTTTATACCTTTGTTATCTGAGAAGTTGGTTGGTAGAATTTCAGGTTTTTTGAAATTACTGAGGCTCTTTTTGTGGCCTAGTATGTGGTCTATTCTGGAAAATGTTCCATGTGCACTTGAGAAGAATGTGTATTGTGCTGCTTTTGGGTGTAGAGTTCTGTAGATGTATATTAGGTCCATCTCTTCTAGTGTGTTGTACAGTGCCTCTGTGTCCTTACTTATTTTCTGTCTGGTGGAACTGTCCTTTGCAGTGAGTGATGTATTAAAGTCTCCTAAAATGAATGCATTGCATTCTCTTTCCTCCTTTAATTCTGTTAGTGTTTGTTTCACATATGTTGGTGCTCCTGTATTGGGTGCATATATATTTATAATGGTTATATCCTCCTGTTTAACTGACCCCTTTATCATTACGTAATGTTCTTCTTTATTTCTTGTTACTTTCTTTGTTTTGAAGTCTATTTTATCTGATACTAGTACTGTAACACTTGCTTTTTTCTCCCTATTATTTGCATGAAATATCTTTTTCCATCCCTTGACTTTTAGTCTGTGTATGTCTTTGGGTTTGAGGTGAGTCTCTTTAAGCAGCATATAGATGGTTCTTGCTTTTTTATCCATTCTATTACTCTGTGTCTTTTAATTGGTGCATTTAGTCCATTTACATTTAGGGTGATTATTGATAGATATGAACGTATTGCCATTGTAGGCTTTACATTCATGGTTAACAAAGGTTCAAGGGTAGCTTCTCTAGTATCTTACTGTCTAACTTAACTTGCTTATTAAGCTATTATAAACATAGTCTGATGATTCTTTATTTCCCTTCTTATTCCTCCTCCTCCATTCTTTATGTTATGTGTTTTATTCTGTACACTTTTGTCTTTCCTTTGACTGCTTTTGTGAGCAGTTGGTTTTACTTTTTGACTTTAGTTAGTATTTGGTTGGTCTGCTTTCTTTGCTGTGATTTTATTTTCTCTGGTGACATCTATTTAGCCTTAGGAGGGCTTCCATCTAGAGCAGTTCCTTTAAAATATCCTGTAGAGGGGGTTTGTGGGAGGCAAATTCTCTCAACTTTTGCTTCTCTGGGAATTGTTTATCCCTCCTTCATAGTTAAAAGACAATCATGCTGGATATGGTATTCTTGTTTCAAGGCCCTTCTGTTTCATTGCATTAAATATATCATGCCTTTCTCTTCTGGCCTGTAAGGTTTCTGTTGAGAAGTCTGATGAAAGCCTGATGGGTTTTTCCTTTGTAGGTGACCTTTTTTTTCCTCTCTGGCTGCCTTTAATACTCTGTCCTTGTCCTTGATCTTTGCCATTTTAATTATTATGTGTCTTGGTGTTGTCCTCCTTGGGTCCCTTGTTCTGGGAGATCTGTGGGCTTCCATGGTCTGAGAGACTATTTCCTCTTCCAGTTTGGGGAAGTTTTCAGCAATTATTTCTTCAAAGACACTTTCTATCCCTTTTTCTCTCTCTTCTTTTTCTGGTACCCCTATAATGTGAATATTGTTCACTTTGGATTGGTCACACAGTTCTCTTAATATTCTTTCATTCCTGGAGATCCTTTTATCTCTCTCTGCCTCAGCTTGTCTGTGTTCCTGTTCTGTGATTTCTATTCCATTAATGGCTTCTTGCACCTCCTCCTGTCTGCTCTTAAATCCTTCCTGAGATTATTTTATTTGTGCATTCTCCCTTCTAACTTGATCCTTTAGCTCTTGTATATTTCTCTGCAGGTCAGTCAGCATGGTTATGACCTTTATTTTGAATTCTTTTTCAGGAAGATTGGTTAAATCTATCTCCCCAGGCTCCTTCTCAGGGGTTGTCTGGGTAATTCTGACTGGATCAAATTCTTCTGCCTTTTCATGGCGGTGGAGGTAGTCATAGGCAGTTGGCACTTGTGTCACCTGTGAGAACAACATCCCTTCCTGCTTGCTGGTTGCCTTGCCTTTCTCCAGTGCCTGTGCTGGTTACCCACATACAGGGTGCAGCTTCTGGTTTTGTTTACTGAGCCACTGCGGGCGGGGCAGCCATCGGGGCACCTCAGAGCTCCACAGGTAGTGGCAGGCACACTGGGTGTGCTCTCCTGTGAGAACGGCTACTCTTCATGCCCTGTCCAGGCTTACTCTGTCTGTGCTGGGCAGCCACGTACCAGTGTGGCCTCTGAGTCTGGCCTGGGAGGCTGTGGAGGAGGCTCTGAGTGGCTGCTGTGGGTGCAGCCACTCCCAGACTGCTCTCCTGCTGTGGCGGGGCCGCACGGGAGGGGGAATGTGTGGGGGCCTGTTTATCGCTTTGAGGGGCTTTAGATTTGTGCCGCCGCCCAGGGGGTTAGGGTGCCTGAAGTTTTTCGGGATTCCCAGCTTGCTGGGCCGAGTGTGCCGGGATGGTTTCATCCAGTTGTAAAGCCCCTGTCCCTTTAAGACTTCCAAAAAACACTCACTTTTCTTTTGTTTCAGGGCGCCAGCTGCGGGGACCCACTTGCAGGTTTTACTATTCCATTTCCCTAATATCCAGGGCACCATGCAATGTGTGTGTGCGCTCCCGGTGCAGATGACTAGGGCTGGGTATTAGCAGTCCTGGACTCCCTTTCCCTCCCCACTCTGACACCTTTCCTCCCACCGGGAAGCTGGTAGTGGGGGAGCGCTCGGGTTCCGCCAGTCCATGGCTTGTATCTTACCCCCTTCGTGAGGTGCTGAGTTCTCGTAGGTGTAGATGTAGCCTGGCTATTGTACTGTATCTTCTGGTCTCTCTTTTAGCAAGAGTTGTATTTGTTGTATTTTCAAAAATTTATATGGTTCTGGCAGGAGATTTCTGCTGCCCTACACATGCCGCCATCTTGGCTCCCCCGTTCCTTTTGGTTTTGTAGGTCAGGATCTGACACTCGTCTCCTTGGACTAAAAACTGGGTTCTTTAGGACTGCATTCCTTTCTGGAGATCCTAGGACCATAGGGGAATATCTGTTCCCATGCCTTTTCCACCTTCTAGAGGCTACCCATATTTCTTGTCTGGTGATCCTCTCCTTTCATCTTCAAAGCTAGCAGATGTGGGTTGACTCTTTAGATCACATCACTCTAACTACTCTTCTGCTTCCCTCTTCCACTTTGAAGGATGCTCATGATTACACTGAGTCCACACAGTAATTCTGGATAATCTCCTCATCTAAAGGACCTTAATTTAATCCTATGTGCAGAATCCCTTTTGCCATGTAGGGTAACATGTACACAGGTCTGGGGCATCTTTGGGGGGCCATTATTTTGTGTAACACAGTAAAGACATTTGAAATATATGATACATTGTGGAAGCATTTTGGGATAAGGTAGTGTTTCCAAATAAAATATTATGGGATTAAACCAGTAAGATTACCATAGTTTAGCTTCTTGTGGACATGTGCCTTTAGAGAAGTTACTCAAATTTTGGCTAGATTATTTATGGAAGAGTAATATTGAGATGCCATTTTTTTTTAGAGGTGAACTTTTGACAGTGTATGAAGTTGGAGTGGAGGTAGTTTGCATCCTCTTTATAGGAAGGGCTGGGGAAAAGAGGTGGGGGAAGGGTAGTGGTCACAGAGGGAAAAAGAAAACTCAGAAATACAATTTTTAAAATTCATTAACCTGTTTCTTTTGCTTTGCCTGAATAAGCATAGAATTTGGCTTTTGTTTTGAGTTAGTATGCCTACATAAGCAGAGGCTAATTTCTGGTGGAAAGGCCATATTTGATTTACAACTAAGAAAGCTTTTAAACTTATTTAAACTAACATAACAGTGGATTTTTGAAAGTATAGGTCCTTTTATTTTCCTACCAATAAGACATATTAGTAAGTATATATTTCTGACAGAAATGCCTCCATGAATCTTTCAGGTGAATCCTAGTATGTTCAGGTGGAAACCATTTTTGTTGTGATTAAGACTAATTTTGTTTATAGCAAAAGGTTCAAGGATGCTGTTTTCTTTTCTCCTAATCAAATCCTGAAGTGAAGTAATAATTGAAATTAACATTGGTCCTAATGTTTTGCTTCTCTTGTATACAATCTACTAGATTTGTTCTTTCAGGATTCTTTTTCTATAGAGAGGGTGTGAACTAGTTAAGGGGTAGAAATTGATAATGAAGATTCTTTTCAGTGTATGGTTTTGTGGTTGATCTATTATGGAACTGTGGATGAGGATTTAAATTAAATGCACAATATTTCACGCAAGTACATTGCAGCTATTTGAATTTCTCTCTTAGTGGTGTTGATAAGATTTATTTGGTTTTTATGAAGGATATTGGTATCTAACTTAACTATGATATAAATTGTACCTCTTACAAATGGTTGACTTAACTGACATACTACCGTGATTGATTGGGTGAAAGATGGTTTGGAACAATTAATAAAGTTCGTTTTCTTTCTAGGATACCAGTCGGAACTTGCGACAAGTAGACCAGATGCTTGGACAATATCGAGACTATAGTGACGGGCAGGCGGGTGCTATTGAACATGTGAGAATGCTTGCATATGTTGGTGTTTCCACTTATTCACCTTTTTGGAAATGCAGTTGTTGAGCAGTAGGGATGTGAGATAAAAGAGACAACCATGGTGAACAGCTTTAGCTTTTAGACGGCTTTACTGTTTTGTGGTTTAAATTTAGGTTAGCTTGTCAGATGGATTGCCAGTAGCTTATATGGATTAGATTCTATTGAATTTGAAAGCTTTAAGTCTGAGGGTGAGGCATTCAGGAACTATTTGGGCCATAGATACAGCCCTCATGAGGAGTGAAGAATTTTCAGGATGGTTTATTTTAAAGTAATACATACTCATTATTTAAATAAATAATAAAACTCCTATCTCTTAGTGCCTCTCAGTCCCACTCTAAAGGGGTAATAATTTTGACAGTTTCTTTTATATCTGTCCAAACTTTTTCTATGTATGTATAACCATACTTCTGACTGGTTTAAAAACTGAAATCATATAAAATACAATGTTATGCACCTTTTCTTCATTTAATGTATATTTTTTCACATGACACAGTAGCTCCACCTCATTCTTTTGAATAGTTATATAATATTTCACAGTAGAGAGGTATCCAGTTTTTTAAAAATTTTAAGTGGTGCAGCAATGACCATTACTGTTTTTGCATAATATATGATTCCTGCAACTATGGAGTTGCTGGGTTAAAATTCTGGCACATTTTTGTGCAAGATTTGCTACATATTTCAAAATTGATCTTTCAAAGATGTGCCAATATATACTTGGGTATGTAAGATGGAAAGATACCCTAGAGTTCTGGAATAAAATGAATACTTTTTATTAATATTCTGCTAAGTCTGTCTGCTTCCTTCTTTTGGAATTTGCTAAGTCATCTATAAGCTCTTAGAAAACCAATTATGTTTATTCATGTTTCTAATTATGAGTGTGTACCTAATAAGACTAATATTACATTTATAGTACAAAGATTATTTTACATATATCTGTGCTGCATTGAGTTGTCACATAACTTTCAACTTTAATTGATGCTTTGTTATTTTCTTTTTACAAAGCAAGACAATAGTCATTTGCTTATAATTGGAAGCTAATTGCTTGAACACAGGGAAACATCTCTCACAAGGTTTTCTACTACATTCATTTAGAAACTTGGACATCATTGCATCTATAAGGTCTTTATGATTTGTGATTTATTTGACTGATAGAACCATAAATTTTGTATATTTGGGTAGCTCACTAAATGTTTTAGATTTAACTGCCTTATTAATAATGGTAGTTAGTTCTTTGCTTTTTAATTTATTAGTAAAAAATTTAAAACATTAACTAATAGCAGAGAACGACCTTACTTTGTCATGTTGAATATTAGATGCTTACTTAGGGTAGCAAATTTCCTTTGAGTTGAGCAACTGGGAAATGAAATTATATATCAAAGAAACTTCTGTACAGATAAGCATTTAAGACACAAATGTGTTCCACTATGACATTAAGCCTCTGTCATAAGTGAAGAGTTGAAGAACACTGACCTATAGTGGAGTGCTTTTATACGTGGGAAGTAAACAAACTCAACAGGTATTTCATTGCCATCTGAGTTGTAAGTACATGGAATGCAAAGCCACTCATATAAAAATTAAGATATAGGAGAACAGGAGTCTATACTTTTGCATCAGGCTGTTCCTTCATCTGGTATAGAGTCTCCTTAATTTTTCCAAATTTCTGTTCCATTAAAACAGTTGGTTCTCAATGATTTTTCCCTCCAGCATACCAGAGGAATATGTTGCTCATCGCCTTATAATAGAGCAATGATTTTCACTCTGCCATTTTCTGTGGGAAGTTATTTGGGGAAGCACCTGCCATAATCTGTGGAACGATGTACAACTCAGAAAGAGTATTTCTCATAGCAAGTGATTCTGATGGGCTCCTCAATGAAATTGCTTTATTAGCATTAAATTAAAATATTTACTGCTATGGAATATATTATACCTTAAAATGACTGTGTAATGTGCCAACTATCATATAATTTATCTGAGTCTTTTTATATTTTAAAGTCCTTTATGTACATGGTAGTACTATACTTTTTTTTTCTCTTTTAATCACTATGTGTTCTGTTTATGGAGAGGCCCTGAAGAGTGATTTTTAAATTCATTTTCTGTTTGAGACTATTCTTCCACTCATACAAATCTTCATGCCGTAAAACCTGTTATTTTCTTAAACATTCTGTAACAGTTTAATCCATTTTAACCAATGTTCAACTGTTAAAAAGTGTATCTGTGCTAAGTATCTATTGCCTCATTGAAATTAGCATTTCTTTTTAAAATATAAGATATCTGTTAGAAAATGAGAGCAACTTTTGCTGTAGGGAGAAGAAAAACTTTTACTATTAACTTATATTTTTGTAGATGATTTTATTGCTAAACTTCAGGAAATGGATATAAGTGATATATGTGTATTAACAATTTTATTTTATTGACTTTAACTTAGTAAACATAATTTGCCAGTGGGTGAAGGGAAATACAAATACTGAATGCAGTGTTTTTCTTCTGCGATGATCTCCCCCAATAAGAGAACTATGTGAATTACTCCTGTTGCTTTTGTAACTCCTCAGGGTCAAGAGTCATGCTGGGTCACTTTTTTGATGACTTTTCCTTGAAATATACATAATTTCACTATCGTTCTCTTGAATCTTTACAACCTGCAGTTATAGTTAAATTTAATTCTTATTTTATATGAAGGCCTGTATGAAGAGTTGAGCAGTGTCAGAGCCTAAGCAATGAGATCTGTGTTGTTTCAGAGAGAAGCAGCACCTACCTTTTCAAATTCTTTGGGAATTTCTCTACAAGCTTGGTATATCCCAGGCACTGTTTTGTATTACCTCACTTAATTCTTTCTGTGGTCTTATTAGGTAATACTGTTATTATCCTCAGTTACAAGATAAAATAACTAGGGCACAGAATGGTTGCTAACTTGCCACAGTCTCACAACTAGTCAGTGACAGGCCAAGGATAAGATGTTATCACAAAATCCAGCATCAAGATTCATTTACCTCACTGAGTCATTCTTGCTCACATTTTTATGATGCTGTGATTTTATATTTCCAAAAATTGGGATTTTGGATTCAAAGCTTGAAGGGTTATATGATGTAAATCGATAAACTAGGTTTTGGAAATTATCTTAACTGATTGAAAAATGGAGAAGCCCACTGACACACAAGTCAACTATCACAGTTGGTACAATATCCAGAATGAGAGTTACATGGAACCAACACAGAAACCAAACTGGGGAGAAATCTGGTGCTCAGTTAGGATTGGCATCAGTGGATTGTCAAGTTGTTTGTTCCAGCTGCCACATAGGCGATATGGTAGGTTCTGCGAGTTGCCTGCACCAGTGCTGATCTTTCCTGTCTTCCTAAATAACAACCACTGATTTTCCACTAGCATTTTTGCACCAGTTTTAAAGCTGATGAGCCATATTTATTTGGGTAGTGTGACTTAGGGTCTTGGAGCTCAGTGAACTTCATGACCTTCAGGAAATGTCATTCTGCATCATTTCTCATGCTGTAAATTTCTTGGGATGTCTGAGAATGTTTGATCAAAAGGGAACATGTGGGAAAGGTTTTATTTGAAAGCTTACTGTAAAGATTTGGAACATATCCTTTGTGTTTATAATGTAATTGCTTAGAGTAGTGTTTAGAATATTTCTAGAACTGTGTTCCTATTTGTGAGAGGACAGGGTCTGTTGCTGTCTTAATGCTATAAAAATGGAATGTCCTCTAGAAAGAATATTCAACATAAAAAGTTAATATCTTCTGCAGTGTCAATTTGGACTGTAGCTGATGAGGCTAAAGTAGTTAATACTGTATATAAAAGAAAAATACAGTTCTCTTGATTCAAATCAGCAGATTCATTAAGTTCATTTTAAAGTTAAAGATTGGTTAAAATACAGTGGTACCAAGTTAGAGCTATTTCTTTGATTCATCCAATAATCCCTACCTTCAAGCATTTATTGTGTTCTTAATATAATACTAGATATATTATAGGTACTCAGTACATGTTATTTTCTTTTGCTTAAATTCATTGGACCTTCCTTCACTTTCATGTGTGTATCATTGTGAATATAAACAATGTAATGTTTTGCAACATCCACAGTGATATGTACAACTGATTATTTTGACTTCAAAGTGTATGTTAAATGTATAGCATACATCATTTTAAAGTTAAAGATTGGTTAAAATACAGTGATACCAAGTTAGAGCTTAGAGGCTTGCATGAATAGATAAATTTTCTTCTAATTAAGTGTTCTGATTTGAATTTACCTTTAGGAGTATTAGGATGCTACCTTCCGGCATGTGAACTTAGAAGAATTTGAAAGTTTAATAATAAAGTCCAGGGCTTTTTTTTCTGTTGAATGGGTATCAGTTGTTAAGTATACTTGGTGACATCTCAGATGGTTGATGGTTTAGAGCCAGGCACAAGCCAGTTGTAATAATCTCAAAGCTGAAGATATCTATCTGCCGCTTTTTCTGTGGCTGAGTTTTACTAATTGTCCTGAAGATGTGAACTCTTCACAGTCTTTTTAATAATTTTAATGTTGAGTCGTAAGAGTCTACGGGTAAGAAATTGTGATCAAACAAATTCTATTAGGACCTTCTTTCGGTAAATATATATCAGATCTTAGGAACTGGGCTCTTAGAGTCTTATGTTTAAACTTTTATTACTGAGTCTCTCATGAAGCTATTCAACAGGAGAAAAATTTTTACAGAATTTTGCTTTGAGGCTAGTGGAAAAATATAGACTTTGGAGTCAGACTTGAAAACGAATCCTAATTTTTCCATTAGAAGTATTTTAGTGACTTTGGACAAGTTATTAAACCTTTGTGAACTTGTTTCATCAACTAAAAAGTAAACAATTCATATATCCCTCATTATGACTAATATTTATTGAGTGGTCATTCTGTTTTGGACACTTGCTCAACATTAATGTTCTTGCTATTTCTTTGATTCGTCCAGTAATCCCTACCTTCA